CAAATGGTTTGCTGCCGCCTTAACTGCACTAATAACGGATTTGTTTTGCGCCGCTGCTTTAGTTTTGCACTCTTGTGTGTATGTTGTAGATTTGTTGTTGTATGTGATTAATTGATTTGCCCACTTTTTGTAAACGACCAATAAATTTTGTATTGTTCATAAGAAGATCGTGTTTTTTAAGGTATTTTTTATTTTGCAAATTGAAATATTGAGCAGTAAATTGTACTAATTATGGCAAATGGTACATTGGAGTAATCAATACGCGATTTTGAGTAATTTTTCTAAGCTGGCTTGACGAACACTTATCGATTAGAAGAAACGTGATATTTCTAAAAACTTTTGTCAATTGATATTCGTTGCGATTATCTAGAAAGACCCTTACTGTCAAAGCAGCAATTTTGATAGTTTTTTCCTTGCATTAAATATTTGCATAGGAATATTGTTGTAGGATTTTATACTTACTCTCTTACTACTAATTTAATCTATACAGAGAACTATTGAAGGGTCATAATTAAAACGACAATAATGTGAATCATAAAAATCGAAAGAAAATACTACGCATGTATTCATGTATACCATACAGTACATACATATGTATGAACATAAAGCATAAGAAGGTAGCGAAGTAGTCGTTCCCTGAGCAATGCATCGCAATTGACCCAATTCACAATGGGTTCCAGCCGGCCGGAGAAGGCTAAGACAAGTACAGTATAGGACCTGCCACAGCAACGAGTTGATTAAACAACGCGCCATGTCGTCCAGTCTAATCGAGTACACAGCAGGTGATTCAATAATTATTAATCGGAACATGACATGTAAGCAGAGCACTACTTAATAATGTCATAGTGTGATAAAAGTAGCTGTTAATGTCTAATTAAGTAGAACAGAGAGCTCTTCCCAGCACTCAAACATGTCATTTATTTATATTTTTGCAAATATTCTATCTTTGCTGTTGCATTTAGCTTCTGTTTTTAAAACTACTATTACTCATAAAAAGTGAAACTCTTGAAAATAGTGTAAGTTATACACCGATCTGAAAAATTGTTCGAAATTGTACCGATAATCTATGCAAAATTTCGTGAAGATATCTTGTCAAATAAAGCAGTATTATAAGGACTTTAAGCCGATCGGCCCCTTCTCTACCCATATACAGGCGAGGGAGTTGTGGGCGGGAAGAAGCGGTTGAAGGAGAGGAACAGTGAGCTTCTTTATGAATGGGTCTAAGCTTAAGGGAAAGGTTGGTGGAGGGGTTTACTGTCCAGCTTCAAATTTCCTGAGTATTGAAGTGTTTCCCAAGGCAAGGTTGCAGCCATTAAGGTAGCGTAGATTTACTGCTCCGGAGTGCAGCCTCCTTCAGTGAAGTGATTATCCACTCATATAACAGAGCGACGATACTAGTTTTGAACTCATTAACAGTGCATAAAGGATTGCTCAAGGACCCCAGCGGAATCGCAAGAAATTGTGAAGCTGCTGAGCTAACAAAGAATGGAACCCTAGAACCGCTATCGGTAGAATGGGAGCGGGTCGATGCTCCCGTGTCCTCTTGCGTTCTACTACTAGATAGCTGGGCTTCGTGCTGTCACAAAAGACTTTTGACCCAAGCTGTATCGCAAGAGATCCAGTGGTCTCTTTGCCCTTCGTAAAGCTAGCCATCCCCTAGTCATTCCCTATTGGCGTCCTTGCTGTGAGGCTGGCAAGAAGATGAGGATGGGAACGGAAATTAAACGCCTACTAAGCGTTTTGTTTATTTATAAGTTCGAACACATGAGTTCTTCTTTTCTATATCTCTCTAGATCCGCAATCTATCTAACCTAACCTAACCTATATGTTAGAGTAGTGGATATCGGTGGTACAAATGATCAGATTCGTGCTCTGAAAAGCAAAGCTTCAGGTAGATATCTCTAAAACTAAGCGATTAGATCGCGCATATTATTGACTGACGCAGGAGCAGACGATAAACCGACTCAACTTTTTAAGCCGATCATATTTTATATGTTCTCCGACGTTTCCTTCAGGGTGTGGTACAAAAATATGTTGGATTTCCGAGAGGAATTTCTAGTTGAAAACTTATATAATTCCCCTAATAGGGACGAAAAAAAAACGGGAAGACATTTACATACTTATTTGTATGTAGGCATGAACTACTTATGAATATACACACATACATATATTTTGCCTATTGTAATGTAAACAATTATTATACAAGTACGTGCATACATATGCGAATAAAATGTGGCGCACTACTTTGAGCTTAACACTTAACACACTGTAATGTAAACTAGTTGGACGGTGCTCTTATTATATATTATAGGGAAGCAAATGGCTGAAGTCTATGCGACGCCTCGTGAGAAGCGACAAAACAAAACTACAAATACAAACCCAGCAAACATCGTTTATCTAAACGGCATAACGAAATCTTAACGGATATTAGAAGCTGTTTGGAAGAAGCGAGGTAGAAACATCTCAACACATCATTTTTCTTTTTTTTTTGCTTTTGAGCTCACACTTTTAGATATGGCACTGCTGATGTGAGTGGAAATTAAACGCCCAATCAAATATGTATTGGACTCAAGTCGCTCAGTCCAGTCACAAAGTGTACGCTTAAAGCCGAGCCGTGCGCATTTTCCCATTCATGCAACACGCGCATTTAAGCTCGGCTTGGCTTGGAGCGTCCACTTTGTGGCCACCATTATAAGATCGGATTCATGAGTTCTACATATCGTAGTTCATGTGCGTTCAGTATCTTGAGGATCGAGCAGCAAACCTAACCTAACCTAACCTAACCTTACAAATACAAACACAATTATTAGAGAATTTTCGCTCATTACATTAGAATTGAATTGGTGCAGTTTTTTTTTTTTTGTACACGATACTAAAAGTTTGTGCTTGCTGGGCATAATCAAAATTGTATATTATAAAACAAAAATGCTGATATAACAACAAACAATCACTGTTATAATCAAGTCTTTGTTGGTATGTGTGTGCTCTGTGTATTGAAGAAGTAGTGGTACTGCTTCTTATCAAGTGATACACACTCAATCTTGGACAACAATACAAAAAAAAAATGTTTTCTAACAACCACATGGCAGTGAATAGTTGATAAGAACGACAAATAGCGCGAGTAAACATGTTAGCTGACCGCCGATCGCATACTGGCAAACTCGAATGTGTGAATGCACATATACAAACGCATATATGCACACAAATAGCAGTTTAGTTAACGCCGGCAATTGACCAATCAGCGTGGGCCGTCGAGGGCTCTACTAAGCGCAACATATTGATATATTACATACGTACATACATACATATGTAAATATGCATATAATTATAACTGTACACTTCTGGGATTAGGCCTTCGCAGGCAGGAACTCACGTTAAACCACAACGGACTCTGTACACACCTTTGTATGCTTGTATTGAGATGCAATAGTTACTCCCCGTTCAAGGTGTACACTTTCTTAACCACACCTACCGGCACAGACCCTTTGGTACCACAAGTTAGCAGTCTATCTAAAATAAAATGGCACAATGCGTGAAAAATTTTTACAAAGGAAAGTTCTACCAACCAGCTACCTTTCAACAACATAAATTTAAATAATGTGCAGCTGAAAAAAAAAAATATATATTTGTAGGATCTTTTATTTTTAAATTCGGGGTCCTTTACTCTTTATTGATGGGAATATGAAAGCTCAGAAGTATGGAGAAGTTGTTTCTCATTTTATCGTAACGGTCGTAGAAGAACAATATGGGCATATTTCTGAGACCATGTCCCAGGACGACTCAGCACAGTATCATTGGACTAAATCGGTAAGTGTTATATAATATGTTATTTAATCATCGATATATCGTAATGTTTATGTATTAGAAGAATATCATCTGTCTATATTTTGCTTTTTATGCAATTTCAGAAAATGTTTGCAGACTTTGGAATATCGCATATGGCATGGTCAAAAATTCTCCCGTTTTGAACCCGATTGAGAGTCTTTGGCACGCCATGAAAAGAAAGCAGCTAAATACGGGCCAAGCTCAGAGACAGAACTGAAAAAATACTCAATAAGGTATGGGAGCAGGAATTTTCAATCGAATGCCTTGAAAACGTCGTTGTTTCGAAGCCTACTAGGGTACTAGGCCAACTAATGTTAGGGGTCTGGTTAGAATTTGTTCAAAAACAATTTTTCTTTTTCGTCTTAGGGCATTTCCGATGGGATTCCACGTTAACTCTACCTACATACATATAACTTATATGTATATCTACCTACACTTAGCAGTCGTAGCAAAATACTTGGCATTGTATTGTTAGTAAAAATTCGGAATGGAACAGCTTACAGCTCTTTTATTCTACCTGCAGTTAAATTTAAATACCCGTCTTTCGTCTTTTAAGGCAGTTTAGGCAGCTTACTGTTAAAAGCTTGCAGATCAAATTTGGAACTAAACGAACCTTTAGATCGGATATGCTACGATTTTAATTCTCATGCCTACACATTTTATTTAAATTTTATTTAAAGTGTTATATTGCTTTCTCTCATAAATACAATCTGAACAATTCATTTTAGCTTAATCTTAAATCTGAGCTGTTGAAATTTTTGTTTCTGTAGCTGAGAAGCTCTACTCATTGCCCGACTTCCAATTTCGGACGTACATATACGAACTTAGGGTTGGTTGGGTGTGGGGAGGGTAATCATTTGATTATTATAACTCAATAAATACATTTAGCAAATGAACTAAAGAGGTACGGGGACAACAGCTAAGAGTAAACCGCTAACTCTTGAGTTGTAGGCCCATAATTCCGGCCACTTTTTACCAAAAGCATTAAGTATAAATAGTATTCCTTGTTGACAGTTTGGGCGGTCGGAAGTAATTCGGATTGTACCACACCTCGATAATAGAAGAAAACTGTCAACATAAACTTGATTTTTGGCTACTACTTGTAGTAGTACTTGTAGATAGGATACTTAAATGTAGAAGTACTTGAAGATAGGTTTTTTTTTTTTGAAACTTACCAGTCTCGTTGCGGCCCAAAGCCACCGGTGATGTGCGGATAGCATTGCGGCTAGGCGCCGACGCCGCTGACGATGCCGCAATCGCGTGTGATGTCTGTGCATTTATCGATGGCAGAAATAGTGATAGGAACGACAGAATAAGTAGTAACTTATACAAAATTGTTAGATTTGGCATTTTGAAGTAACGCAAATGTTGTAATTGCAATTGTAGTGATGATGAGGAGGCGATATTGCACGCCTTGTGGTGGCTGTGCTGCTGTTGCAAAGCATTTTGTCGATGTGATGTTGGTGGTGTTGTTGGCGATGGTAATATAAAATTGAAGTAGTGATGTACATGTTGTTGTTGTTGTTGTTGTTGTTGTAATATCTGTGATTTTTCTTGTACTGTACGGTAGCTAGTGTGATGTTGCGATTGCGAGCATATAACGTTACTTAAATATCTATTATTATAGCTAGTCTGGTTGGCGTTAGCATTGGCGTATTGTTGTTGTTGCTCGGTTCGTGATGTATTAAATATATTTGCATAACTATTGTTACTATTGACTATATCCATTATATTATTATTTGCATTATCATTATCATTATTATTATTGTAGTAGGAATTACAGCGAATTTGTTGCATCAGTCTTGAGGGTGGAGGACGTTGTTGTTGTTGTTGTTGTTGTTTTTGTTGCGGCTGCTCTTGCCACGCGAGCATTTGCAGTTGTGCTTTTTCATTTGCATGTCTTTTATTGGATTTCGTATTCGTATTACAATTTCTCCTATGTCTACTGCTAATATTACTATTTGTCGTGTATTCTTTGTTGTTGTTGTTGTGGTTGCTACTATTGCTATTACTATTGTTTTTGTTTTTGTAAAGAAAACTATGGATTTTTTCGTGTACAGGATGCAAAAGTTGTACCTGAATGCACAATAATAAAATCTGAAAAGTGCGCAGAGCTTTATCGAAGAGCGCAGGCGCAGACGAATTTATACTTGTGGTTGTTGCTGTTGCAGCAACCGGATTTTTTTGATGTTGCTCATTGCAATTTGTACAGGTTGTATGAACTAATGATGATGAAGATGATGGTGGTGACAAAGTGAACGCTGCAGTTGTTGTGGTCAACTCTAAATCTGTTGTGGTTGTTGTTGTATTTAGCATTGGCGCTGCATATGATGGTGTTGAACGTGTTGGCGTCGTTTTCGTTGTTGCTGCCAATAAATCAGCTACTGCGAAAGGTGTACCCAAAGCAGTTGCTGTTCCAGTTGACATATCGTTGGTGTGCAAGAAATTGTTGCTGCTTCCTTGTCGCTTTTGCTGTCGACAGTTGCAACATACAAACGCCAACGCCACTGCGGTCTCCTTAGTAGATTGCGCCGATTGCTGCTGCACCAGTTGTTGCGTCAGTGATTTTGATGTAGTGCCATCACCGTTAACTAGCTTTATTGTTTGTGTTGTTGCATGCGGCAGTTGCACTGAGCGAGGCCTGCAACTGTCTACGCATTTGCCGTCGCATGCACAAGTATTGTGCTGCACAATGAGCAACTGCTGATCGTTGTAATCGGGTTTAGCTACGTGTGTTGTTGCACTGGTTGTTGTTGTTGTTGTTGATGATGATGAGTTAATCGTTGTGCATCTGCTGTGTGAACTTTTATGCTGCGCCACTTGTCGCACACTGCTGCCATTAAAATTGACTATTGTTGTAGGTGAGTAATTGCTACAACAACACGCGCAACACTCCTCCACTCGCTGACGGCAGATGATACAAACGCTGCAACAGTGGGGCTCGCTTTCGCGCATTACCAACGTCCTGTTGTCAGCAACAGCTCGAAACTCCTGCACTCCTCCTCCCGTATCGGTGGAGTTTTGTGTACGCTGCGCCGCTGCTGCCGCCGCCGACCAACGTCGGCCGCGTTCTGCACGCAGCGCATTGTTGTCAAGCCGTTGCCTCGGCATATCGACGCGAACGCGACTGTGCTGGTGATCCTGTTCGGCCCTCAAAATCAAACGCTCACAATTAACATCCATTTTGGCTAATTACTTTTGGACTAACTTTTGACATTGACTTAGATTTCCCCTTTTTGGCGCATTAAATTCTAGGGGAATTCCGTGTAGCAGTATTTTTACTTTGCTAATTCAGTGATTAAATGTTGCCAGGGCAACTCTGTGTGTTCTAAAATAGTCTGTATTCTCGTGAAATAACAAATTTTGAGGTTGGTTTTCACTTTTCGCGATACATCAAGTTCCGTTCAATTGCATCATCGTATTCGTCACGTCGTTTTTTTCGTATGTATTTCGGCATTTTTTGCACAAACAACGAGGTTAACTATAAAAAAAAGAATTTTAAATAAAATATTAGTTAAGCGAAACAAAATCATTTGTGTATAATATATATGTACGTATGCATACTATGTGCTAACTGTAGTTTTTAGGCAAGTACTAATGATGATTTTATAAGGGATAAGTAACATAATTAGTTTAGTAAATGCAGTAATTTAATCTACTTCTTTTCCGATTTCCATTCAAAATTGGTACATTTGAACTTCGTGCGCAAATCGAATCGATAAAAATGTTTTCTCTAGATTGCTACAATTGGATTGATCATGTGAAGTTTGATCTCCTTATATGTATCAATTAATGTGTACTTAGTAGCACAAAGCAGGCAGTGAAGGTCGTGCGATCGACTATCTATCTCTGAAGTCGACTAACCAGATGCATAGAAGCTTTACTGCGTAGAGTAACATTCGTCTTAGTACTAAGAGAGGCTGCTCACTGGGTGGAGTTCTATCCCCCTCTGCTATGGAGCCCAGTTGTAGATGAGTTCCTTGAGTTGCTCACTAGCAATGGGATTCGATGACAGTGGTACCCCGATGACATTGTCATAATGGCGCAAAGTAAATTTGAAAACACTCATTGCGAAATAATTCAAAGGGCTTAAGTTGTCCCTTTTACAAAGCGAAGATGTCTTTCGGGCTTGATTCCCCTAACACTCGGTGGCAGGGAGTTGGAGATGTCTAAAGGGTTAAATTCCTTGGCTTCACATTAGACTTAACCTTACAGTGCGGTAGGCATGTGGATTTAATGGCTGTCCAAAGCCACCATGGCACTCATGTTATGCAGATGCCTAGCCGGCAGATCCTGTTGCCGTAAGCCAGGTATCATAAGATGGCTGTATATCAATCGCCACCGCAACTAACTTAATCAGCGTATCGCTATACTTAGCGACAGTTAAGCGGTACTAAACGCGTTATCACGGTATGAGGTTAAAACGCATTTAGTGGAAGAGTATATAAGAAGGCTGAACCGCCTATCAGTGTACAACCAGGTGCACCTAATCTAGGTGCCGGGGCATAAAGGTATAGCCGGCAATGAGTTAGCCGACGAACTACCCTCTTTGTGGCAATTTCCAGGATGACAAGGCCAGAACCATGCTTTGCAGTGCGGTCACACATTGTAAAGGACCAGCTTCGCATAGAGGAGAGAGAGGGGAGATAACAGCATTGGCAGCATAGCACATTTCTGCCAAGCTACTTCTGGGAGGATACAACCTTTCAAGGTTTAAGAAAATGATCAACAATATAAGCGGTTGTAAGCGAGATCCGTGACGAGGTAGAATTCTACATGCATCAACGCATAATTACTGGTGACGAGACGTGGGTTTATGAATATTATATCGAAAGTGTCCAATAATTTAGTGAATGGCGTTCCGGAATGAACGGAAACCAAAACAAAAAATCGCCAGATGTAATACACCCACTGTTTTTCCAGTATCCGAAACACTTTTCATAAGAAATTTTGTTTTATCTCTTCGATCGACTGGAAACAGGTTCTCTACGGAGCAACAATTTCAGTTTGGGAACAGAAAAAATTAGACGGCGCCAAATCTGGTGAATACGGTGATGGATTGATGGCGTTTATTGCGGTTTGGGCTTTAAATTCGGTCACAATCATACTCTTTTGGAAAATAATTCAGCTTTATCGGTTTGTCAGCGCATTTATTGAAAAGTACTCTCGAACTAGATAGACTAGGTTATAGAGAGCATAAGTAATTGTAATCATCGCTAATTGTATTCCAAATTTTACTACATGTCTTACATTTATCGTTGAAAGCCTTTAGCAATGGTATGATATTGTGACTTTTATGTAGAACTATTTGAGAAACTATCGGGGGCCGCAGGAAACAGCGCTTACAGTGCAAACTAGATACGGTGAAGGAGAAAAAGATATAAATATTTATGCGTAAAAGTCTAGAACGAGTTATTAAAAAGATTATGTGGGCAATATAAATATCAATAAAAAAATTAGGTACGACGTTAACAAATAGCGTAAATAGCGTAACAACAACTAACCGTAGTGGCTTGCAAATAAAGAAATATTTATGTCGCAACTAATTGCCATGGAGGCAGATTGATACCATAATTGAGCGCAAATTCTAGGCAGTGTTACGCTCAACGCTCAACGCAGAATTTCTAATTGCAATGCATTTTTGCATATGAAATGTCAACTGCATTTTCGATTATATAATATAACGCGTAACTTTATACCCTCGTAACATGTTGCACAGGGTAATAATAACATTGTTCATGGAATAAAATTACGCCAACGATTTTTTCCAGTTCTTGAAACACTTTTCATAAGTTGTTTTTAAATCCGTAAATGTGTTAAATCTGGAAACTGTGTTTTTGAAGCCGGTTGACAAAATTTCTCGAGAACTACTCAACCCATTTCATGAATTTTTACACAGTTCTTTGAGATACAATTTTTAAAGACGTGGACGAAGGATTTTTTTTCGATTACAACTATTTGAAAAAAATTCGCGAAATTTTTACAGAAATTTTAATTTAAAATTAAATGAAAATAAAAAAAAATGAAAATTTAAAATTTAAGTTTAAAATTTTTTTTTTCAAAACTTTCAGAATTTCTTTATTAATGTTTTTTTTTTAAATTTTTTTGTAAGAAAAAAGTTTTGAAAAAATGCTACTTTTTACCCGAGGAAATGTATATAACCCCTTAAATTTATATGCAACTCTTTCAAAACAAAGCTTTGCCAAAATCTGAAAATATTCCTTCTTCGCGAATTGCAAATAAATAAATATATTCGTTTGCATGCGAACTAAGCTCGTCCTTACTGCATTGTTTGTGTGCTAGTTATATACACATTTCTCGCCGTACTCCATGTCTGTGCTTCGGGTTTCATTCATGCTTTGCCAACAGCGTAGTTTTAATAGTGCACAGTACGTATGCAAATATATGTATATATGTATGTAGATATGTTGGTGAATAAAAATGAAGTGGAAAATAAGTTACAACAACCAACAATCTATAAAACGTCACCTATGACGCGATCGTCTGTATGTTTGTGCCAGGCTTTTTAGGTAAGTAGTCGGCGCCGACGTCAATTAGGCAAGGCTTTATCAAACAACAACACAATATGTTTCTTGCAACTATTGCGTTAAGTTTATTGAAAATCAACGTTTTGCATTACTTTTATTTGCATTTGATGATGTTTTATTTGGCTGATGACACTCAGCCGTGCAGTAAAATCATCACACTTTTTCTTGGGTTTTGTGTGTCTACCATAAAATGCAGTGTTATGCTTAAATTGTGCGCATTTAATTAATTGCAGTCGGCAAAATTTCGAATGTGATTCACAGTTCATTCATGATTAACAGTTGGTATCTTAAAATCGATTTTGAACTTGAAGTTCGAAAGAAGGCACCTTTATTATTATTTTGATTTTGATCGGTCAGTTTGAATGACAGCTGTAGGCAACAGTAATATGATCTGAACAATTTGTTCGGGGATTATATAATAGCGTTGCCCTAGAAAATAAGTTAAATATTATGAAGATAGCTTTTCAAATAAAAAAGTTTTCCACATGAAGACTTTTTGGGTTTTGATCGATAAGTTTTTATGGCAGCTTTATCTTATTGTATCTATTAAAAACCCCTACAATGTATTTCTTGGACCAGCTAAACACCCAGTAAGCAAGCTTTTAAGTTGAGAAAGCAGCTTTATGACCAGTCTGATAACAATCTTGAGCCTGTGAATGTGGATTGTGTAACAGCGATTTGTTACGAAGACAAAGTTTGCCATTCGACCACGAGCGGCACGATCCATTAGTCTTTTCTCGTCGTTCTCTCGCTTACAAAAATCGGTTTGGGCGACAAAAAGAGTCGTGGTTTGAACATAGCTCTATATGTGCATATACTTAGTTTGTATTTTGAGAGGTATAGCTGATGCACTCTCAATTGGTTTGGCATAAATATATAGCACGACTGTTGCTAGACTATTTGTCCATCCTTTATCTCTATCGCATATGCTTAATAACAACAATGTCATCAATCACTCGTAATATCGCCTCAACTGTCAATACACACAGTTTTTATTTACATATGTATTATTATTATAATTACTGCAAATGAACTGCATCAATGGCGCCTATGACGCTTCTCGAGGCGGAAGTAACGAAAAACGTATTATAAACAACAATCATTTATGCGTTATATTGCTCCACATGCTCCACATTTTACTAGCAGAGTGAACGCTTAAAGCCGAGCCGTGCGCATTTTGCACTTTGAGCGTCCACTCTGCGGATTGATTTGCATGGAGGCAAAAATACGAAAAAATTGCAAATGGGTGAAATAGTATTCCACGAATCACGCTGAACAACGTCGACGAATTTCATTCCAATATCTCAAAAATTGCCGAAGAAGTTTCTTGTAAGCCGTAAAAGCTAAAATTTGCCTTAAAAATCGCTAGCTCGAAACCGATTTTAGACCCTTAGTCTCTTAGGCAAAGTTGTACAGAATGGTCCGTAGAATGTTTACCCGCACATGCGACTTCATAGATAAAAGACTACTCCTCTATTGTTCATGAATACATACAACAATGTGTAAAGCAGAAAAAAGAGCTAGAGGTTGCGATTTCCGATTGTGTGTTGCTGTTTAAGGGCTGCACATGCCGCTATATTGGGTTAGCTATTGAGAGGTGCAGACATCGAAAACAACATAATAACAAAGGCTAATCTGCGTGGCAAGTTAGTAAATCCACCTGCAATATGTTCCGTTCAGTGCTACTCCATAGCTATTTTGGATGTGTTTTCCGCTATGTAAAAATGTGCTTTCAGAAATGGTACCAGGCCAATAAAAACTGAGATTCGAATGACGACACGGAACAACAACGGAAAATCAAAGATAAAAGTCTGAAACCAACCGCAACAATTATCTGCGACATTTCGAGACAGTGTCTGCGCTGAAGCTGCTGTCCTATTGTTTGCTCTAGTCACTATTATGCGACCAACACTGTGCTGACACAGTTTCGCTG